GGTTTTGATGTCTAAGACGGGACTAGAACTCACCGCCTCCTGGTGATTGGCCCAATGTCAACCACCGCCTCCTGGTGATTGGCCCAATGTCAACCAGCTGATGTTTAAGGTGGGACTAGAACTCAGCGTCTCCTAGTGATTGGCCCAATGTCAGCCACCGGCTTTGATACCTAAGGCGGGACTAGAACTCACCGTCTCCTGGTGATTGGCCCAATGTCAGCCAGCTGGCCTTGATGTCTAAGACAGGACTAGAACTCACCATCTCCCAATTTCTAGCCCGATGCCTTAACCGCTGCACCAAACTGGCTGTCGTGTTTTGCAGTCCCAGTGCAAAACGTTACCCTGGAAAACCACTAGCTAAGCCAGGTGACTTGCATGCCTCCTGTCTGCCCCAACCTGTCTCAAGCATCCCCCGCCCTCCCGCCCGCTGAGTCCCAAAGCTCCAAAAATGGATTTTTTCAAGTGTCTTGAGATGCAAGGTTGGACTAACATCTCATGCATATGGAATTAGCTCCAGGCATTCCCTGTCCAGTTATATGACCTCTCTGGGCGATCTTAGGATCCCACCAGCCAGGGTGACATCACTTGGAAGTTCTTGAAAATTTCCCACCCTGTAATTTCTCTGGTCTAAAAGTTGCATCAGGTTTCTTGAAAGCCCCCTGGGGGGTTTGCCATCAGCAGCACTGAAAACTTTCCGAAAGCAGCCTGTATTTCAGTACCAAAAATGTGGGGGTTTTTTCCCTCCCTCTTGCCATGCCCATTTATCTTAAGCGTATCTTATCCAAAACCAAGGAGCCTTGGTGGAGCAGCGGACTAAAGCGCTGTTAAATAGCACTTAGCTGCCAGCTGCCTGCAATTACTGCGAGTTCAAATCTCACCAGACTCAAGGTTGACTCAGCCTTCCATCCTTCCGAGGGAGGTAAAATGAGGACCCGGATTGTGGGGGCAATAAGGTGACTTTGTATAAAAAAGAACACAGCTTAGGGGGGGGCCGAAAGCCCTACTAAGCAGGTATATACAAAAGTATGAAGGCCATTGCTTAACGCATAGTAAGCCGCCCTGAGTCTCCGGAGAAGGGCGGCATATAAATCGAACCAATAAATAAATAAATAAATAAATAAATAAAACCATTTCCTTAGTTTTTGATTCACAGCCCTTTTCTTCTAGTTTCTTGAGCAAAAAAAAAACGCTGACTTTTGAGAGGAGAAAAATAAATAATCTTGTTTTCTCTCTTCTCAAATTTCCCATGTTCGCTTTTTCAGACTGTTTTTTCCTCCCCTGTCTTTGTGGAGAGTGATAAGTTTTGACTTAAGGGAGCCAAAAATCCCTCAAATTTATGTTCCATCTAAAATAGTTTGTATAGAAATCCCTTTTCCTGAATTCAGTGTTCTTATTTCCTAGAAAACACTAATGTTGGCAGGGAACTATTTCCAGGGTCACATGATGTGAAATTCCAATTTGTTTACCCCACAAGCTTGTTGAATAAGCTATTGTTGGTCAGATTCTCACAACCCACCAGGCCATAAAGTGGGCCTGAAAAATATGATGAGCAGTTTGCCAAGATATTATAGAACGGGTAGTCCTTGACTTATAACCACAACAGAATCCCAAATTTCCATCGCTAAGCAAGACAGTTAAGTGAATTTTGTCCTGCTTGACAGCCTTTCGTGCCAAAAATTCTTAAGTCAATCACTGCAGTTGTTAAGTTAGTCAAACGTTTGTTGAGTGAATCTGGCTTCTCCATGGATTTAGCTTGTTGAAAGATCACACACGGTGATCAATGACCCTATGTCATAAATACGGTACATGCCAGTTGGCCAAATATCTGAATTTTGATCATGTGTGACCATGGGGATGGATGCTGCAATGGTCATGATTGTGAAAAACGGTCATAAGTCAGGGTTTTTTTCATTGCTGTAATTGCAGGCAGCATTTAACATCCAGCTGCCTGCAATTACTGCGAGTTCAATTCTCACCAGGCTCAAGGTCGACTCAGCCTTCCATCCTTTCTAAGGTGGGTAAAATGAGGACCCGGTTTGTGGGGGCAATAAGCTGACTTTGTATAAAATATACAAAAGTATGAAGGCTATTGCTTAACGCATTGTAAGCCGCCCTGAGTCTCCGGAGAAGGGCGGCATATAAAAATAAATAAAAATAAAATTAAAAAATTAAAAAAAAAAATGCTGTTGTAACTTTGGTCACTAAACAAATGATTGTAAGTCGAGGACTATCTGTATAGCATCCTGTGTGAACTTGGTTATTTGCGGCATAAAGTTAGATGCTCGCCAAAATGCCACTGTCTAGGCATTCCCTCTGTATGTGGACTGTCCTATTTCTGTAAGTTTCTCATAATTTCCTTATTTCACTGATGGGTGTGGTGTGGTGTGGTGGGGAGTGGTGCGGTGGCCTAGAGGTGGAGCTCTCGCCTCACAATCAGGAGGCTGTGAGTTCGATCCGAGGTAGAGGCAGATATTTCTCTCTCTGGGCACAATGAGAATATATCTGCTGAACAAAACTCCTCATTGGCGACAGGAAAGTCATTCGGCCATTAAACACTCTGCTAGCTCCATTCAGTTGCCCCGACTCTACCCTGCAAGGGATTATCAGGTCGTTAAAAGAAGATGACTCATGGTTACCACATAAGCATGAAAGTTCATTAAGTTATAATGCAGTTTATTGCATTTTTTGTATCCATAAATGCAGCCAGGTGTCTGTCCATTGACTTGAAACACCTTGACCTGCACAGGTGAACAGTATTGGGAGAAACATTGATTTAAGGGCAGTATTTCTGTTTTGCAGCACCTCAGGTCATTAATTTACGATCGCAATTGGGACCAGAATTTCCAGGGCTAAACAAGGTGGGGTTGCTAAGCGAGTGGCGTCGGATTTTACGACCTTGTTTGCCGCGGTTGTTAACCAAACCACTGCAGTTGTTAAGTGAATCAAGTTGTCGCTAAACGAACCCATCTTCCCCCATTGACTTTGCTTCTGGGAAAATGAGATTGCAAAGGGTGATCAGATGGCCCCGGGATTCAGCAGTGGCCAAGTATCCAAATTCTGATCATGTACTCGTGTGATGGTCATAAGTGTGAGGACCGGACATAAATCGTTTTTCCAATGCCTTTGTAACTTCAATTAGTCGTTGAATGAATGGTTATAAATCGAGGGCTATTTAATCCTAATTAAGTCCTTAGGGATGCTAGATGAAGGAGATCAGGCAGCAGGTAATGCAAAAACGTTTTGCTGGAGATCTGGAGAATGGCAAATCCAGAGGAGACAAAAAGGAAGTGACTTGATCTAAGGCAGCTCCCTGGGATCCCTAAGATCCTGCAGTGTGTTCCCTTTGAAATACAAGTAGTCCTTGAGTTACGACCACAATCGAGCCCAAAATTTATGTTGCTAAGCAAAACATTTTGAGTTTTGCCTCTTTTATGACTTTTCTTGCCACAGTTGTTATGTGAATCATTTAGTAACACAGTTCTTAAGCAAGTTTGGCTTCCCCCCATTGACTCTGCTTGTCAGAAGGTCGCAAAAGGGGATCACGTGACCCCAGGGACACTGCGACCGTCATAAATATGAACCAGTGGTCAAGCATCTAGACTTTGAACACATGACCACGGGGGAATGCTGCAATGGTCGTAAGTGTGGGAAACGGTCATAAGTCCCTTTTTTCAGTGCCTTGGTAACTTTGAACAGTCACTAAATGAACTGTTGTAAGTCGAGGACTACCTGTATGTGGAGAATGGATCAAAAATTGGCTTCTTAGCCTGGCCAGAAAGGAGGTTATGTGGCTTTATTCTAGAATCCCATATATACTGTAGACTTTCTGAGAGAATTCAAGCTGGGGAGGATGGTTCCTGCTTCCTGAGGAGTGGGGGAGAGAAAGAGAGAAAAAGAGGGAGGAAGAGAGAGAGAGAGGAAGAAAGAGAAAGAGAGAAAAAAGGAAGGAAGAGAAAGAGAAAAAGGAAGGGAGAAAAGGAGGGAGAGAAAGAAAGAGAGGGAGAGAGAAAAGAGAAGGAGGGAGAGGAAGGAAGAGAAAGAGAAAAGGAGAGAGAAAGAGAGAAAAGAGAGAAAGAGAAAAGGAAGAGAGAGAGAGAGAAAAGGAGGAAGAGAGCCAGAAAGAGAAAGAAAAAGAGGGAGGAAGAGAGAGAAAGGAGAGAGAAAAGGAGGAAGAGAGTGGGAAAGAAAGAGAAAGAGAAAAGGGAAGGGAGAAAGAAAGAGAAAAAAGGAGGAAGAGAGAGAAAGGAAAAGAGCAAGGGAGAAAGAAAGAGAAAGAGGGAGAAAGAGAAAGAAAAGGAGAGAGAGAGGAAGGGAGACAGAAAAGGAGGAAGAGAGAGAGAAAAGGAGGAAGAGAGAAAGAAAAAGGGAGAAAGAAAAGAGAGAAAGAGAAAAGGTGGAAGAGAGAGAGAAAGGGAAAAAGAAAGAGAAAAAGACAAAGAGAAAGGAAGGAGGAGAAAGAAAAAAGGGAGGAAGGGAGAGAAAAGGGGGAAGAGAGAAAGAGAAAAGGAGGAAGAGAGAGAAAGAGAAAAACAGGGAGAAAGAGAGAGAAAAGAGAGAAAGAGAAAAGGTGGAATAGAGAGAAAGGGAAAAAGAAAGAGAGAGAAAAAGAGGAAGAGAGAAAAAGAGGAAGGAGAAAGAAAAAAGGGAGGGAGAGAGAAAAAAGAGGGAGAGAAAAAAAGAGGGAGAGAGAAAAAGACGAAGAGACAGAAAGAGAAGGAAGAAGAGACAGAGAAAAAGAGGAAGGAGGAAAGAGAGAGAATGAAAAAAGAGAGAGAAAGAAAGAGAAAGAGCGCCCGCGGGCGCACCTCCCTTCAGCCAGGCGCCTGGCGGGGGCAGCAGCGGGAAACGAAAGAAGAATCCCGCCGCCCCTCCCAGCGGTTGCGGCGGGGGGGGGGGGGGGGGGGGGGGGGGGGGGGGGGGGGAGGAAAAGAAAGCAGGGCGGGGCCACCCCCGTGACGTCACAGTGCCGGCCGGCTCCTAGAAAAGAGCAGCGCAAGGGCGGCCGCGCTTCATTTCTCCAGCCACGCCGACCCAGTTCAGTTCAAGGTCCGCCGTCCGATCTCAGCCCCCCTCCCCACCTCCTCCAAGAGACTGAAGCCGTTGCGAGGCTTCCTTCGGCCCGAGCAAGGGGACCTGTTGAGGATCCCGGATTCTAAGGGTCGATTTTGGGGGCTTCCCCCCCTCCGACGCCCCTTCCATTTCTTGCAAAAAAGGATAAAGCAGACGGGGGAAACCCCCTCCCCAATAAATCACCCACCCACCCCCCAAAAAAACCCACCCGATCGACCGATCGCCCCCTTTTTTTTGGGTGCCCCTCCTTCCCTCCCTCTCCCACCTTTCCTCGCCCCGCATCCGCAACGAAGGTGGAGTCGGAGCGCGGCGACACCTTGCTCGCCAAGATGCCCATGGAGCTGACGCAGAGCCGGATCCAGAAGATTTGGCTGCCGCCCGACAATCACCCCACGTTGCCGCGCCGATGTGAGTAAGAAGGGGTGGCTGGTGGGAGGGGGGGGGAGGAAAAGGAGGACGGAGGGTCCCGGCCGGATTTGATGGACGGAGGGGGAAAAAAAGAGAGAGAGAGAGATGCCGGCTTTGCAGCCAAGCCAAACCAAGAGAGGAAGGGTGGAGAGAGAGAGAGAAAAAACACCCCAAAGCCGGGAAGAGGGCATTTAAGTGCCGGGAATCATCAAAGCCGATCCCCGGGGAAAAGGAGAGCAGATCGGGTGGGAGAGGCCGATCTTCCGAAGCGGGAGAGAGATCCAAGCGGGGATCAGCGGCATCATCTCGGGGCGGACGGACTGAGCCGCTGCAGCGTCTCCAGCGGCCGCTTCCTTTCATTTTTGGTAGCGCTTTGCAGGCGAGCCGAGCTGCTGCTTGTTGCACGAAGCGTGCTTGGGGTTTTATCTTTTTTTTTTTTTTCCCCCGTTGCAAGAGCTCCGTAATCGCCGCCGCATCATCATCATCCTCCTCCTTTTTTTTGCGGGCGTTGCATGCAAGCTCCGGGCGGATCTGGCTGGCGGAGCTCGGTCTCTCTCCAGCATCCCGGCTGCGGAGCGCTGGTTGGTTGTTTGGATGGCTTGGCTGGTTGGCGGTGGTGGTTAGTGGTGGCGATGCCGGGCATGGCACGCAGCGCATGGCGGAGGGAAGGGCGGGTCGTCGCCAGCCCTGTCTGCCGCACGCGGAGGGGTGGGGGCGGTGCTGCCTCCCGGGCTTCCCCAACCGGCGCCCTCCCTCCAAGCCCCTCGCGCTGGAGCGCTTAATCTCCGGGTTGAAAATGAGAGGGGGTCCCTCCGCGGGCTCTGAGCTTTGGTGGTTTTCTTGCAGGCGTTTGGTGGCCCAACTAGGTACCATCATCAGTATTAGGAGGGAATATGGTTGAAGGAAGAGAAGAAGGAGAAGGAGAACCATCATGAGGGTTAGGAGGGAATATGGTTGAAGGAAGAGAAGAAGGAAGGAAAGCAGAGAACCATCATCAGTATTAGGAGGGAATATGATTGAAGGAAGAGAAGAAGAAGAAGAACCATCAGTATTAGGAGGGAATATGGTTGAAGGAAGAGAAGAAGGAGAAGGAGAACCATCATGAGGGTTAGGAGGGAATATGGTTGAAGGAAAGGAGAAGGAGAAGGAGAACCATCATGAGGGTTAGGAGGAATATGGTTGAAGGAAGAAAGAAGGAAGAAGGAAAGCAGAGAACCATCATCAGTATTAGGGAATATGGTTGAAGGAAGAGAAGAAGGAAAGGAGAACCATCATCAGTATTAGGAGGGAATATGGTTGAAGGAAGAGAAGAAGAAGAAGGAGAACCATCATCAGTGTTGGGAGGGAATATGGTTGAAGGAAGAGAAGAAGGAGGAATGAAGAAGGAGAACCAGTGTTAGGAGGGAATATGGTAGAAGGAGGAGAGGAAGGAAGAAGGAATGAAGGGGACGGAGGAGGAGAGGAAGGAGCTGTGGAGTCCTCGGTGCTCTCTGAGTTTGGTGGTTTTCTTGTAGATGTTTTGTGGCCTAACTAGGTACCGTCATCAGGGTTAGGAGGGAATATGGTTGAAGGAAATGAAGGGGGACGAGAAGAAGAGGAAGGAATGAAGGGGAAGAAGGAAAAGGAGAACCATCATCAGTGTTAGGGAATATGGTTGAAGGAAGAGAAGAAAGAGGAAGGAAGGAAGAGAACCATCATCGGTGTTAGGAGGGAATATGGTTGAAGGAAGAGAAGGAGAGGAAGGAAGAAGGAGAACCATCATCAGGGTTAGGAGGGAATATGGTTGAAGGAAGAGAAGGAGGAGAGGAAGGGAGGAGAAGAGGAAGGAATGAAGGACGGAGGAGGAGAGGAAGGAGCTGTGGGGTCCTCGGTGCTCTCTGAGTTTGGTGGTTTTCTTGTAGATGTTTTGTGGCCTAACTAGGTACCGTCATCAGGGTTAGGAGAGAATATGGTTTAAGGAAATTAAGGGGGACGAGAAGAAGAGGAAGGAAGAAGGAGAAGGAATGAAGGGGAAGAAGGAAAAGGAGAAAGAAACTGAGGAGAAGAACTGTGTGGTCCTTGGCGCTCTCTCAGCTTCTTGGTTTCCTTGCAGGCCGTTTCATGGCCCAACTAGGTACCATCATCAGTGTTAGGAGGGAATATGGTTTAAGGAAGAGAAGAAGGAGGAAGGAAGAAGGAGAACCGTCATCAGGGTTAGGAGGGAATATGGTTTAAGGAAGAGAAGGAGGAAAAGAAGGAGAAAGAATGAACGGGGACGGAGGAGATGGGGAACAACTGTGGGGTCCTTGGTGCTCTCTGAGCTTGGTATTTTCCTTGTAGACATTTCATGACCTAACTAAGTAACATCATCAGTGCTAGTGATGGGACTAGTTTGGGTTTGCAAGAAAACCACAAGGTTCAGAGAGCACCAAGGAAGCGCTTCTGGTCCCTGGGTGAGGTTGTGTGGCCCGTTGATGCTTTCAGATTGAGTGATCCGCTGCAGCTGTGGAGGGTCCCACCCACCCAAACTATCCCTGAGACGTCTGTGGGGAGGCCAGGAAAAAGTACACTCGGTCTCCGGGATGCTCAAGTTGGGAAGATGCCCTGCAGCCTGCAAGAGTGGGGCGAAGGGTGGGTTGCCTTGCCTACGTTGCCCCTCCTTCCCTTCTCCCCTCCCCACTTGTTTGATTCTGCGCCCCTTGACTACAAGTAGTCCTTCCCTTGTGACCGCAATTGAGGCTCAAACCTTCTGCTCCTAAGCGAGGTGAGGGGCGAAGTGAGTTTTGGCTCGTTTGAAGACCTTTTTGCTATGGTTGTTAAGCGGATCGCTGCGTGGTTGTTAAGCGATTCATACGTTGGTGAAGTGAATCCTCCAGCTTCCCCCCCTTGGGCTTTGTCAGACGCCGTCTGGGAAGTGTACAAATTGACAATCACACGATCCCAGGAAGCTGCAGTTTGGATCACTGATTGCATTGCAATGGGCAAAAGCGTCAAAATGTCACTTTTCCCAGTATCTCTGGTCACTAAACGAACGGTTTTAAGTCAAGAACTACTTGTTGGGGAAAGGGTACAGATTAGACCCATAGGTCCTCCCCGCTTCCCCTCCAGTGATTGCTTTGTGATTTGGGGTGCCACTTTTTCTGCTGTTTGGCCAGACTCCTGGGCCTTTTAAGACTCTCCTGGCCGCAATGAAGGTGAGCCAAGTAAATGAACCTTTGCTGTCGGGTGATAAGGGCCACTTATTTGTTTTCTTGGATCCAAGCTGTTGTGAAAGGTACGAGCAGGATTAGATTACACTTGGCTACGGTCCTGCACTGTGTAGTGCTGATTAAAGGACACGGATGCTCGGCTGACATGGCTTAATTTATCCTACCTTTGCCCAGACTTTTATCTGCAGAGGAGAAACGATAATTTTTTTTGCAGTTATTTTATATTCTGGGAGATTGCCAAATACAGTTAGTCCTCAACTTACAATCACAGCTGAGCCCCAACTTTCAGTTGCTAAGTAAGTCACTCGTTCACCGAGTTTTGCCCCGTTTTTGCGACTTTTCTTGCCGCAGTTTTTAAGCGAATCACTGCAGTTGTTGAGTTAGTAACACAGTTGTTGAGTGAAATCTGGCTTTCCTCATTGATTTTGCTCGTCAGAAGGTCGCAAAAGGGGAATCGCGTGATCCTGGGGCACTGCAACCGTCATAAGTCCATGCCAGTTGCCAAGCGTCTGGAATTTTGATCACGTGACCATGGGGAGGCTGCGACGGTCGTTAAGTGTGGAAAATGATGTGTCTCTTTTTTCAATGGTGTAACTTTGAACAGTCCCTAAACAAATGTAAAGTCAAGGAGTTGCTGTAATCTTATATTGTGCAGAAAGTATATTCACTTCTTGGATTTGATGTATAAGCATATATATGTATGTGTATATATAATATATTTGTGTGTAATATGTATATGTGTGTGTGTATGTATGTATATATGTGTATGTATGTGTGTACATATATGTATATGCATGTATATGTATGGTACTATGTGTGTATATGTATGTGTGTGTATGTGAGTATATGAGGGTGTGTGTATGTATATGCATGTATATGTGTGTGTGTGTGTATATATATATATATATATATATACACACATGTATATATGTGTGTATGTATATGCATGTATATGTATAGTACTATGTGTGTATATGTGAGTATAAGTATGTATATATATGTATGTGTGTATATGTGTATGTATATGTGTGTATGTGTGTATATATGTATGTATATATCTGTGTGTGTGTCTGTGTGTGTGTGTGTGTGTGTGTGTGTGTATGTATAAAGAAAGAAGCAGACATCCTGCGAGCTCCGGAACTTAATTATTTTAAAATTTTAAGTTCCGGAGCTCGCAGGATGTCTGCTTCTTTCTTTACTAATATACTTGGAACTCGTATTTTTAGAATAGTTTGTAATATGTATGTATGTATGTATGTATGTATGTGTGTGTGTATGTATATGTATATGTATGGTACTCTGTGTGTGTGTGTGTGTATCCCTTGTGTGTGAGTTATTAACTAATTATGTAAGTACCCTTTTGGATGGGCCGCAAAGCTGTGTGAATGGGTATAACTGCACATTGCTGCTGGTGAAAGGCTGGGTTGCAGCTGCAATCCTCGAAAGCCGCCTGTCGAATCAGGAGCCGGTCCTGCCAGGTGACTCGGGACTGGAAAGTGAAGCCCCAGAGATGGAGGCACCTCCCAGAAGACCTTACTTCGCTCAGTGTGAAAGTTGTGTTTGTCTCGAACCAAGCAGCCCAACCTTTTTCATCAGCTCTTATCCAAACAGTTGTGAACTTAGCTCCTGTTTTCACACAGGACCTTGAATCATAACCAGACGTAGTGCGTTGGGTTGGCCCAGACCTGAGGCCACCCTAAAAGTTTTGTCAAGTTTGTTGTTGAAAGACCAGGATAGGGATAGATCATCATGAAAAAAAAATTATGTGGTCATTAAGAATTAACAACTGTGAGGTCCTTGGTGCTCTCTAAG